ATAATAATAATAATAATAATAATAATAATAAACACAAATCTGAGAGGATAATATTCAAAGAAAAAATTATCTTAGATGTGAAAACTTGTTTTAGTTTTTAATAATTGATTTCTTTGGTGCTGTCTCCTACTACTGTACTGTACTACTATTATTTTCACCTGCCACCATTAAAGGCAGGCAATCGTGTTTGTCTGTTAGCAAAATATCTCATGAAATAATAGATGGATTTTTAATGAAACACTAACAAAACAATTCTTGCATGGGCAGCTACAAGTAGTTAACCTTTAGTGTCAGTCAATCCAACAAGGCCGCCACAGTTAATCAGCCTTAGCAGAGAAATAAACAACTATAACTCAGTCAGTTTTACAGATATTGGGCTAAATTTTGGCGTGGTCATTGCTGAGAGTTATCCTCAACATGTCCTGCAAGTACAACCACTGTGCATGAGGTCTTTGTTTGCAACTTTGGTCATGAGTTTTAAAGTGAGCACTGTTTGTCTGTTAGCAAAAAATATCAGGAACCACAGGATGGATTGTAAAGTAAATCCCAGAAAACAGTCTTTACATATTCTTCAACAACTGATTGATTTGTGGAGTCCACACAATTTAATATGGCTGTCACAGCTAATCACCTATAGCCTAGTCCATGCTGCAGAAACTGAGCTAAGGTTTGGTGCAGTAGTAGCTGAGGGTCATCTACCTCACATAATCTGAGTGCTAACAGGTTGCAAAAGTTTTTAATTTTTTTTTTTTTTTTTTTTTTTTTTGGCATTCAAGGTGGTGGATGATATGCATGTTGGTTAAATTATGAAATGTGCTCCAACAACTTGTAAGAGAAAATGAAACTGGATGATTTTATGAGCTCAATGAGGGAAAATGTGATGTGAAATAATATGTGTCTTTTGAATATTTAACCTCTTTAGATTTACAGGGGGAAAATAGTAATATTTTGACTGAAAGCAAGAAGTGTTCAAACATACAGTGGTGCTGTTCAAAAGTGACCAGAGAAGCTGAGTTCAACACCCAGCACCTGTTAGAGCAAGTTGGCTGTGATGAAGACGTAGATCCTGGCCTGGAACGTGGTGAACTTGCCCTGCCTCCACAGCTTCATCTCCACAGTGACGAGAAAATCCCGGGGAGCTTGGACCTGCCGCTGCAGGTACACGGCGCCCGTGTAGGCGTTCAGCTTCCTGGTGCTGAAGTAGGCTCCCTCGTTGCCGTGCGTGATGGTCACGATGACGTTGTCCCCGGAGTAGGCGGGGGAGGGGCCGATGCGGAATATCTGAGCGGGGACGACGATGTTGGACTGGAAGCTGAGGTAGTAGTAGGTGATTCTCACCGGAGAGTTCTGACACTCCAGGGGGGCGGGACAGCTGATCCGCTCACAGCGCCTACAAGCAAAAACACCAACAGTGTTGAACAAACGGATTTACTTAACTTAACACAAAAATGAAGCGCTTTGTACAGGATGGTTTAATCCTATTTTTTTAATAAACTTTACATAAAAAGCAATGAAATTTGTGTTTGGTAGATTATTTCTTTGTTGTAACAATGCTTTTTTGGTAATAAACCTACTGTTGGAAAGCCTGTTAATTTCCATGTTAAATGATGCCACATTTGTAAGGAACATGCATTTGTGGGATGAGCAGTGTGAAAACAGTAAAATGAAATCAATCAGGTCGAGTTGTAGATTGTCCAAAAACTACACCGATTTTCCCCCATTTTTCATGCATACACACATATAAAGTTTCATGGATTTTTCAAAAACTTCTTTAAATTTATTTTACATCTAGACTTCCATCCCTCAGACTGTTGTGATGTTTTCCTGCATCCAGAGCCTCCTACAGTCCTCCTAATTTAAATACCAAGATGTCAAGATGGTTGTGTAGGCCCTCCTCTTTTGATTGACACGTTTTTACCAACTGGGTCCATCTACGGTCTCTCCACTGCGACAGGGTATTAAGGCCAGACTAAAAGAACTTTTTTTAAATTACGAAAATAAAGTCGTAATATTATAAAAATTAAGTTGTACGAGAATAAAGTTGAAATATTACAAGAAAAAAGTTGAGATGTTGTAATAAAAAAGGTCATAATTTTACAAGAAATAAGTCATGATATTACAAAAATACATTTGTGCGATAATAAAGTTGTAATATTTACAAAATAAAGTTGTAATGTTATATGAGACCTCCTACAGGAAAAAAGCAGTCTCACCGCTGCGTTGATATGAGGAACGTAGAGCGGTGTGTGAAATTATACTCTGGTACTGATTTTACAAATAAAGAAATACTTCATCTTCACCAGCATCAAATTATTATCAGTAGCAGGGCTTTAAATTGTGCAAACGACTGTGTCTATTTCAGACTTTATTCTTGTATTGTTTTGAATTTATTATAACATTAGGACCTTGTTCTCATAATTTAATTATAAAAAACTCTCGTAGTCCGGCCCTAATATATAAATTTGTTTTATATATAAAACATATATATATATAAAAATATATATATTTGTTTTAAATTTGTTTGTTTATATGTTGATATAAGTATTTTTAAAATGTCATGTTTCAGCTATGTGTGGTGGGGTTAATGTTGGATTATATTTCATTTGGATGTACAGTAAAGTAGTGGCTGTTCAGGTCTACAGTCAAGTCACAATATTTTTAACCTTTTTCATAGAATAAAAAAGGCAACTTCAAGTCTGTGTGTGAGGCTGCTGGAAAACAAAATGTCTAAAGTTTTAGTTTTTAAAAATTATTTTATAAAGTTGTCTGTTATGTATTGATTGATACTGTATTGTATTGATTTCTTTACGCCTGAATGACTCATGGGTGTAATTAAAATGTTTTAAACAAACAAAAACTTGAAAAGCAGCCATGTCCAATGAAAACACTTGAAAGCTCTTCAGAAATTTGCAGAATTTTGGCTCCTTGGAAGCAAAACACGTATCAGTAAAAGAGGGGATGACTTCAGATTTTCGCAAAATGTGGTTTTGAATTACATCCACTACGTTTGTTTAGAAGGAAAACAGTTTCTCGTGCCTTTTCCCAGCACTGAGTGAAACCATAAAATGTGTCGACAAATTTTGCTGAACGTTTTGAAGGATTTAAAACTTACGTGTCCGACACTTTGCGGTAGTTCAGGGGACAGGCCAGAGACAGGCAGCGGTACCCTCCCTGGATGTTGTAGCAGGTCTCAGTGAGAGAACAGTTATAAGCCCCTGTAGCGCACTCATCAATATCTGAAACATAAAGAGAAATTACAGATAGGACCGGTTTACTGCCGGGTGTTAGTCACAGGATTATAGGGTTAGAGAGGGAAAAAAAAAAGTTTCTCAAGAGGACTTTCAAATTAGCAAGACAAGATTTTTAGGGCTATAAAATTTTACAGTGTGTGTAATCCTTTGCACCACCAATTATATTTATCTGCGCAGCACCACTCTGTGAGCAATTTTAAAAATCAATCTCAGAGAAACTCAATGAGGCGGCTGCATCTGAAGAGGCGGCGGGAGCTCACCGCTGCAGGAGAGCCCGCTCGGAGACATGGTGTATCCGTATTCAGGGCAGGCACACTGGTAGCTGCCGGGAACATTCACACACTTGTAGGTGCACAGATGGCCGATGCTCTGCGAGCATTCATCAAAGTCTGCACGACAAGAGAAGATAAAACGGTTGTACGCGGGAGTATGAATTGAGTATTAATTTCATGTTTGTGTTGTGTGAGCGAGGAGGCCCCACCTGCACACGTCAGCCCATCTTCTCGCAGGAAGTAACCCTTTCTGCAGTAGCACTGGTAGGAGCCGTAGATGTTGGCGCACTCCTGACTGCACGGGCTGGTCAGACACTCGTTCACGTCTGGACGTTAGAGATTAGAGCTCGTTACTGCCACGACTTATTAAATGAATCAGTGTTTTAATTTCAACGTGATACAGGATGCTGTTATTAGGGAGTTGACTGCATAAACATTTATTATTGTATGAATGCTCAGACAGCACTCACATTTATGTTTTCCTGTTAATAGCTACAAAAATACATTCGCCTCAGTCAGGGTAAACATGCTTTGAATTCAGTTTATTGTAACTTTTATACTACAAATTGTTGCCTTATAAAAAGTTCCATAAAATAATTTTAAAAAATCTCTTCAGCTCCTTCATAAACTCTGTTTAAAATCTGCTTCAGCACAGCTGCTCTGTTTATGTTACTTTTAGCTTTTAGCTGCTGTTCTGCCACTTCCACCTTTAAGTTACTGTTCTCCAAATTATAGCTTTTAACTACCTTTCTGCTGATTTTAGATTTGATCAAAGTTTTGGACTACTGCTTTGTTAATATTAGGATATGTTAACAGAGATGTGTGCAAGTTTTTATTGATTTTTTTTGCAAGTTCAAGTCAAGTCTAAGTTTTTGACCAAAAATCCAAGTCAAGTCTCAAGTCTCTTGACCTCAAGACCAAGTCTTGTTGCATGTATCACTTAACTGGCAGTTTCATCAAAGATATTCTAACTATACTAGATTATATTATATAATACTATATTTTAATCAAATATTAAAACAGTATTATGTTAACATAATACTGTTTTAAAAATACTGATAAGTTTAAGGTTTTAATAACAATCAAGCATTTAGAGTATTGTTAACAGTAATTTGCACATGAAGTCATTGGCAAAGAACAAATCCAACAAGTCTGCTGCTGATTTTACAATAAAATACCAGATATTTTTGTTAAATGCATAAAAGCTTGTCAGTGAAGATGAAGAACAAGAATCCTTAAAGTAAAAGGGCTGCACAAGTCATCACAAAAACAAATTTTGGATTTGGACTCCACACACATTGAATTTTGCCAGTCACTTGTCATGGTGTTGAATAACGTCTCTGTAAGCAAAGCTTATATTGAATATATTGCAACGCACCTGCCATGCTGAAGCTCTGTTTGTCACTGTCATGGACTAATTATTTATATCTGTTTCCCCTTGACACTGTCCATCACTCGTATCTTTCTGATAGCTCATTTCGCTCTCGTTGTCTGTTTGTCCAGACAACGGGACTCCGCAATGGACTGACCTCTCTTGTTTGATAAGACACTCTTCGGGTGGGAGTCTTGTGATTGGCTGGACAGTACATTTGGCAATCTGTGATTGATTGTAAACTGTCACATGGTGTTGACATGATGTACATTATTGGCTGTATTCTGCTGACGCGGTCAGTAGCAAGCATGCAGAACCTTCCTGATTCAGTTCTGTTTGTTTGTTGCTCACAATTAAATCATATTTTGATTATCATATATGCAGACTCTTCTGGTATTATTCCAACGTGTTTCTGCTTTTGCGACCACATCACGTAGGGTATGCATCATTAACACTGGACGGCGCTGGCCCCTCCCATTCTCAGGTGAGCGGGAGTGGAGTGTATGGAAGAATTATTCAGACTTTAATCAAGAGCGTATATTTTCATTTTTTTTTTTTTTTCATTTTATTTGAGAGCAGGAGTAAATGTCTTTGCTCTTAAAACTTTATGTATTTGTTCTCAAAGGAGCGGAGCATGGATGCGCATTGAAGGAGTGAAAATCGTGAGCCGGGCAGTGAAAAGACTTGCATTGTTCGTGAGTCTCAAACCACAAGTCCAAGTCAAGTCTCAAGTCTTTACAGTCCAAGTCAAATCTAAGTCTCTAATAGTAGGGACTTGAGTGCAACTCAAGTCCGAGTCACGAGTCCCCATCTCTGTATGTTAGGCTAATTTTAGCTTCTGTTCTGACACTTTTAGCATTAAGTAACCACTCTGCTACTTTTAGCTTGTAGCTACTATTCTGCTGATTTTAGATTTTAACTAAAACTTTAGCGGGTGCTTTGCTATGCATTGCTAATTGTGGCTACTGTTCTGCTCCTTTTAAGATTAAGTTAGCATTCTGCTAGCTTTAGATTTTAACTGCTGTTCTGCCACTTTTAGCTTTAAGTTACAGTTTTGCTACTTTTAGATTTTAGCTACATTGCCGCTGTTTTGGATCTTAACCCAAATTTTATCAGCTGCTTTGCTATTATTGGTGTGTTTTGCTGGTTTTAGTTATTGTTCTGCAACTTTTAGCTTTAAGTTATGGTTCTGCTACTTTTCAATACATCTCTGCTGATTTTAAATTTTAGCTAAGATTTTGCTACTGCTTTGCTAATAGTGGCATGTTTTGCTAATTTGAGCTATTTTGCTCCGTTTTGGCTGCTGTTTTTGGTTTTCAGCTTGTGTTCAATTGTTTCAGTTGTTTGTTTTTTGTTTGTTTTGATTTTTTTTTAGCAAATCACATGAAAGTCATTTAGCACCCAGTCTTTAATCGGCATTCACAGAAAATGAAATCTCCCTGGTTGTGTGAACGCTGACAGACACAGATGTGTGCTTATCATGGAGGCCCAAATGAGCCACTGGCAGCAGCTTCAGCATCATTCTGGCTCTCATTACAATTTTCTTCAGTTCATACATCAAAACATCAGCCTTTTGTGCTGTTAAGATTATTACAGCAGTAACTCTCATATCACTAATAGACTCATATAAAAGAAAGATGTTTTTTATTGGCTTTAAAGTGAGTAGCTGCTGGGGCCCAGCTCAAAATGTTTTTAGTTGTGACAGATGTTCTGCTGTCTGAAGACACAACGAGCTGTGAAACATCTCATCACACATCCTGGAACAGCTCTGTCTTTAAAGCAGCACTGTTTTATAATTCACACACGCGCACATATTTTCACACACGAGTTGACAAAAATCAAACATGCATGGACACGCACCCACAGCCGTGCGGACTAACGTGAACACAAACACACCTTCGCAGCTCTTGCCATCAGCAGATAAGCGGAAACCAGAGGTGCACGAGCACTGGTAGGAGCCCGGGGTGTTCTCGCAGGTCTGGGCACAGAGACGGCCGGAGAAGCGCCAGCACTCATTTACATCTGAGAGGAAGCATCATCATCATCATCATCATCATCATCATCATCATCATCATCAGAAAGAGTACAGTGTGCTTGTGTGTTTACACCCATGTTTGCAGTGGAAAATGTGCATTTTTAGTGTCCTGTGTGTGTGTTTGTGTGTCCAACAAATTGTGATCCATAGGGACCACCTGTCTGCTGATAGTCTAAACCAGTGGTTCCCAAACTTTTCAGCTTTTGGCCCACAAAATAACAGTAGCAGAGACCTGTACCCAACTATGTTTGGATGATAAACATTTGTATCGGTCAACAAGACATAGGCATGGCAGCAATATTTATTATACTACATTTATCCATTTTAAATATGCTAACCTCACTCCTTTGTAACAACTAAGGAAAAAATGTAATTAATTCAGAAAATCTTTTCAGGACCCCATCCCCAACTTTGGGAAACACTGGTCTAAACACTCCAGTTGAGTGTTTTATTACGAAAGCCACAACACGACGCTGTGAATCACGTGCGGAGGGAGCAGCGGGCTGAAGAGACGTGATCGGTGGGAGTTTATTGGCTGTTGTGGGAGCCGAAGCTGGGAAATAACAGCAGCTTTCTCTGCTCCGGAATATTAAACAGGAGGTGCAGAGAGGGGACGCCAAGTGTAACAGGGGTTGTGTGATAATTGCATCGTACTGAAAAGGTGCAAAACGGTTGAGGGACAAAACCCAAACATCTATCGTACCTACGCACGTCCTCCTCATCGAGTCAAACTGGTATCCTGTCCGGCACTCACAGCGGTAGGAGCCGGGCAGATTCTGGCACAGCTGACCCTCTCCACAGCGATGCAGGCTGGTCTCACACTCGTTCACATCTACAAGAGCCACGTGAAATCAGTGAAGTGATCCTGAAGACATCAAGCTCCCAGCAGTAAGATTTTAAACACAAAACCTTTGCCATCTCAAAAACATTGTTTTCGGTCTGAGTTTGACACATTTACCCAAGTTCTAAAAAACAATGTGTAAAATTTCAATAAAAACAGAACAGACACACACAATGGAATAACATAATAAATGATTGCTACATTAACTGTACAATTTTTAGAGGGAAAAAAGGGTTGTTGTGAGGTTTATTTTATTTTATTTTCGGATATTCACTCATTTTGAATTTGATGTCTGCAACACCTGTCAAAAAAGCTGAGACAGGGGCAACAAAAGGCTGGGAAAGTGGAAGAACGCTCAAAAAACACCTGTTAGGAGCATTCCACAGGTGAACAGGTTAACTGGAAACAGGTGAATGTCATAACTGGGTATAAAGGGAGCATCCCTGAAAGGCTCAGTCGCTCACAAGCAAGGATGGGATGAGGTTCACCACTTTGTGAACAAATAGTCCAACAACATAAGAAAAATGTTCTCATTATAAAATTGCAAATACTTAGAGATTTCATCCTCTACAGTCCAGATTATCATCAAAAGATTCAGAGAATCTGGACAAATCTCTGGAAGTAAGCAGCAAGACTGAAAACCAACACTAAAGGCCCATGACCTTTTACCCCTCAGGTGACACTGCATTAAAATCCAACATCATTCTGTAACAGATATTACCACGTGGGCTCAGAAACACTTCACAAACCAGTCAGTAAACACAGTTCATCTCTACATCTACAAGTGAAAGTTGAAACTATCCTGTAAAGCCAAAACCAGATATCAACAACACCCAGCAACACCACCGACTTCTCTGGGCCCGAGCTCATCTGGGATGGACTGAAGCAAAGTGGGAAAATGTCCTGTGGCATGATGTTCTTTTATCAGTGCAAAGTTCAAAAGCCAGCCTCCCTGATGGTATGGAGGTGTGTTAGTGCCCATGGCATGGACAACTGTCCAATCTGTGAAGGCATAATTAATGCTAAAGGTTTTGCAGCAACACATGCTGCCATCCAAGGCACGTCTTTATCAGAGACGTCCTGCTGATTTCAGCAAGACGATGAAGACACTTTCTGCACGTTACAACAGTGTAGCTTCGTAGTAAGAGTGTGGGTACAAGACTGGCCTGCCTGCATTTCAGACCTGTGAAAATGTGTGGTGAACTATGAACCACAAAACACAACAACAGAGACCCCAGAGTGTTAAGTAGCTGATGTACATTAAACAAGAATGGGAAAGAATTCCTCCTATAAAGCTTCAACAGTGTCCTCAGTTTCCAAACACTTACTGAGTGTTGTTAAAAGTAAAGCTGATGTAACACAGAGGTAAACATGTTCCTGTCCCAGCTTTTTAGGACATGCTGCAGGCATCAAATTTAAAATAAGTGAAAACAAAAAAAAAATAACAATAAAATTTATCCATTTGAACATTAAATGTCTTGTCATTGTTGTGTATTCAATTTTTCATTTATGTTTTACACAATGTGTAGTTGACACTAAACTACAGGTTTTGTTTAAAGTTGAGCAGCTCCACCTTCTTCTGCCTGCAGATTGACTTTAATCCTGCATATAAAATGGGATCACTTATTCAACACTTGTAACGGCCACACGTCTCACCAACACATCTGGATCCGTCGGGACTGGCATGATATCCTCGGCTGCACATTATCTTCCTGGTGCACGTGAACGAGCCCGCCGTGTTGATGCAGTTAAACCCTGCGCTACACGGCTGGGTCGAAGCATTACACTCGTCAATGTCTGGAATGAAGAGACACACAGAGGTAGAGGAGATGAAGGTGAAGAAAGGCAGGAGAGGAGGAGGAGGAGGAGAAGCCCCGCAGGCAGACGCACGAGGCAGGAGAGACCGGCGGGCATCTCTTTAGCCTCCCTGGTGCCGCGATATCAAAGCAAAACACAACATCACACAGCTGGATGACTTTGTTCTGTGAGGCTGACATGTTCTCCATTTTGTCATTTCTCCTGCACTCCCCCACTTTTTTTGTACAGTGGCGTCCGCTGCCTCGACATGCCTCAGTTCCTGCCCCTGGGGGCTAATTCCATGGCTTCAGTTCGTACTGGAGGAGGACAGAGGATTTGGCTTTTATCCACCCCTCTGCAACCTCTGAAAGTGACGGCTCTGATATCCTGCCTGTGTGGCATTTTGACTCCTCTACCGCTCCGGCCCTGCTGATTCATCTGTATGAACAGGCGTCCTCATAGACAATGACTCACCCGTAAATCCCTCATTTACTCATCTGTTTGGAAACAAGATAATGAAACTCTAAACGGTCCTTGTAAAATGATTTAAATACAACAAAAAAACCACTTAGTCTTTTTATTTCTTCCGCCTCTGTGGCAAAATTAAATCTGAAGAGAATTTTACAATTAGACCCGAACGCAACCTTTCCTAAAGTGTAAACAAAAAGATAATTCTGCTTATAAAACAGGGCCATCTTCATTTATTTTATTTATTTGCTTGTTTTAAGCGGGGCGGCATGGTGGAGAAGTGATTAGAGCTGTTGCCTCACAGTAAGAAGGTTGCAGGTTCACTTCCTGGCCTTTCTGGGTGACGTTTGCGTGTTCTTCCTGTTTCAATGTACACACCAAAAACATGCATTAGGTTTACATGTAAGGAAACTGGTGTGTTTGTTTCTGTGTCCCACAGTTTATTATCACCCATTGATTAAAGGCAAAGTTTGATCATAATAATGTTAGCAAAATATCTTCAGAACCACTGGACCAAACTAAATGAAACTTGTAGAAAGTAATCATTGGAGATGGCTGCCACAGCAAAACAACCTTAAAATCATAGAAAATGTTTATACGTCAGTGGGTTTTACAGACACTGATGCAAAATTTAGTGTGGTAGTAGCTGAGAGTCATTCACGACACATACTCTGAAAATATTACTTTTATTAGAACACCATGATGTCTCGTATGGAGGACCAAACCTATCATTATTGGAAATAAATGTATAAATATATAAC